CTGGAGTATGGTGGCGTGATCTAGGCTCACTGCAGACTCTGTCTTCCTGATTCAAATGATTCTCATGCCTCAGCCTCCCAAGTGGTTAGGGTTATAGGCATGAACCATCACAACGGGCCTGGCTGCACTGCTCCATTCAGTCCTTTCAACAGGTCTGCGAATTGGTGCCACCAGGCTCTTTTCCAGAGGCGGCGCCTGAGTCTGAGATCACCAAGGTAACCTATTTGAGGGTCTGCAGGGGGATGGAGGAGCAGGGATTTGAACCTGGGATGAGCACAGGCTCAACTACCTGGATGCAAGTCATGATGGAACTGGCTGTGTGACCTCAGGCAAGGAACCCAGTGTCTCTGAGCCACTCTTTCCTCGGTGGGAAAATGACAAAAGAATAATTTTGTTTCCCTCCCAGGTTGCTGGGATGAACCTGCTGAGATGAGCAATGGGCTCAGCACTGTGCCAGGCACGCAATTAGAGCTCAGCAGACACAGGACATTCAGGAGGATGGTGGTGAAGCTCTATGACTACCCAGCAGCGTAAGAGGGATGGTCATAAGCACGAGGGTGGAATGCAAGTAACCTAATGGGGCCGGGCACAGAGGCCCACACCTGTAATCCCAGCACTTTCAGAGGCCAAGGCATGAGGATCACCTGAGGTGAGGAGTTCGAGACCAGCCTGGCCAATGTGGTGAAACCCCGTCTCTACTAAAAATACAAAAAATTAGCCGGGTATAGTGGTGTGTGTCTGTAGTTCCAGCTACTGGGGAGACTGAGGCAGCAGAATTGCTTAAACCTGGGAGGCAGAGGTTGCAGTGAGCCAAGATCATGCCACTGCACTCCAGCCTGGGCAACAGAGCAAGACTCCATCCCAAACAAAACAAAACAAAACACCAAAAAACGAAAGTGAGCTAATGAGCTGAATGTCTGCAGGGTAAAGGGACTGGGTCAGGGGCACGGAAGAGATGCGGCTGTTGGAGAGAAGAAAGGAACATGCAGGGATCTACCTGGGGGTGGTAGGCAGAAGAATGGCCTC